TTACCCCACCCGGAGAAAAAACTGAGCCATGGGAACACTTTTTTATAAGAAGCCATATTTTTAGAACCCTTTGTCATAGATACATTCTGATCATTTAAAATGATCGGAATACTTTCATTTGGATAGGATAGATGCTTTCATTGTACTTCTGCGTCATTTTCCCTAAGCTTGAGGACCACACAAGTAAAAAGTGGCTGATCTTACCCCACTCTCCACTATAAGTATTAGACATTTAATTTAATATTTTACAGCATAAATCTATATTATATTCTAATAAAAAACTAATTTAGAAAATGTATACTATTTTTTAAACTATTTATAGGCCTACTATTAATATGGTTTTAATAAAATATGATGTGTTATAGATTACTAGTATCAAGACAAGTAATTATAATGGGAAATATACTTAATTACAAGAATTAAAGTGTGACAAACTGCTAAATATTATATATGATGATTTACCTGCTGGCTTGCTGGAGCTTTGAATTCATTTTTGCAATGTTGAACTGCCTTTAGCAGCCTCCCTTCGCTTTTTCTCTCTTTGTCTGTCTTTTTTTTTGTCTACAAAGTGTGCCAACAACAGCAAATTTGGTGTTATTTATATTAGACTGTGCACGGCCCTGGTGCGCTGAATGCTGTTACCGGAAACTATCGAGTAGTACTAAGCAGAAAGTGGAAGAAGTTATGCAAGTAGTCCATTGGGCGGGTTTTGAGTCGGCTTTGGGCAATACAACAAGTCATGTTGTTTGTTTGTTGTTGTTATAAAACGAATAAAAATAATATGGCAAAAAGTCTCAGTTGAAAATAATGTAAAAAGCAAATGTTCGTAAAAAGCTCGTTCGTGTAGTGTGTGGAAAAGACCAGAGACAACACAAATTAATCATTAATGACTGACAGCAAAAGTGCGTGACGAGAGAGAGAGAGAGAGAGAGAAAGAGAGAGAGAGAGAAACGAAAGTAAAAAAAAAAGTCCTTAAAGTAGGATTAAATTATAGTTTGACTGACAGCAAAAGTGCATGACAAAAGATAGGCTGTTGTACAGAAAGTCTGTAAAACTGACGATGTTATAGACGGTGAAAATAGGATAGATGTTTTATCCTTAAACTATTAGCAGCGAGTTTTGTTATTTGTATTAAATGCGTAAATTAGGTTATTATTTCCTGTCTTGAACAATTTTAAGCAAATACTGTATGTGCAACTGCTGAAACAATTTAATAATAGAAACGAAAGTAAAAAAAAAAAAAGTCCTAAAAGTAGGATAAGATTACAGATAGGCCTAATTTATGACACAATGCTAGTACACATATAGTTTGCTAAACTCAAATCTTACCTGAAATATGCGCCATTTTATCACCAACACCTTGAAGTTTAAGCTGAAAGTGTGTTTGACTGACGATACAATGAATGATAAAGAAGGACCTGGTTGCAACCTGCAGGACGGGACGGCCCAATGACGTCAACGCTTCAGCAGATTTTCATTTCCGCTATTAATTTCTGCAGCGGAGAAAGGCCAAAATAAATAAATAATTAAATATATAAATAACGGATACTGAAAAAGCAGAGGTGCTGGGACAAGCCTTTATTAAAGTGCACAGAAATAGCTATATTTCTTATGAAATGAGAAGATGCAGGGAACTTTACTTTATTCCTAATGCAAAAGAAAAAAGAGGTCCCTCTGTTTGTATAGGCCTACATTGAATAGGAATTTCACAAAGTATGAATTAAAGAGGGCCCTTTCTGGAGTTAAACAGGCATCACCAGCAGGGCCGTGCACAGACATTTTGAGGGGCAGTGGCCCAAACTAAAAAAAAGGGGCACAAGGAGGGGGGTGCTTGTTAATACAAAGTATCCAGTTGTTACAAATATACAATTAAAAGTGAAGACAGCACACTCTGTAATAACTGACATTATTGTCGATGTTTTGATAAGAGTGGGCTCTCCCTCACTCTCTGAGCCTGCTTCTGCCTCATCTTCAATGGAAGTAGGGGAGAGTGGGGTAAGTTGAGCCAGTGGGTAAGTTGACCCACCCCCTGTTTCTTGGCAACTGTACATCTGTACAACTGTCGTTACTGGTTTAGTTTATCATATTATTTGCAGTTTATTTGATAGCGACAGTGTACAAGTGCACCAAATCCTTCTCTGATAAGAACCAGAAAATGCTTTTC